GGCCACATGATAGGACATGAAAGAACTCTCAACAAATTCGAGAAAACTGAAATTATATTAAGTATTTTCTCCGATCATATCAGCTTAAAACTAGGAACCAACAACCTCAAGGAAAATACTTAAAAACAGTCAAATACATGGAGACTGAATAACATGTTATTAAACAATGAATGGGTAAACAGGGAGATAAGCAAGAAATCAAAAGTTTCTGGAAACAAATGAAAATGAACACACAACAATCCAAAACCTATGTGACACAGCAAAGGCAGTCCTGAGAGGGAAGTTCAAAGCAATATAGGCCTACCTAAAAAGTATAGAATTTCAAATAAATGGTGTAACCTACATCTCAAAAATTGGACGAACAACAACAAACAAAGCCCAGAGAAGGAAGGAAATAATCAAGATCAGAGCAGAAACAAACGGCATGTAGATTAAAAAACAATCTAAAGGATCAATAACTCCAGGAGCTGGTTCTTTGAAAGATAAACAAAATTGTCAAGCCCTTAACCAGACTCACTGAGAAGAAAAGAGATATGACCCAAATAAATAAAATCAGAAATGAAAGAGGTGAAGTTATAACCGATACAATATGCAAAGGATCGTAAGAAATTACTACAAACAACTATATGCCAAGAAATTTGAAAACCTGAGTGAAATGGACAAATTTCTAGAAACATATAATTCTCCAAAACTGAGTCAAGAAGAAGCAGAACACCTGAATAGACCAATACTAGCTAGTGAAATTGAAGCAGTAATAAAAAAAACAAACCAAAAAAAAAACAACTCCTTGCATACCAAACCCCTGGAATGGACAGCTTCACAAGTGAATTTTACCAAACATTTAAGGAAGAACTGACTCCTATCCTTCTCAAACTACTCCAAAAAACTGAAAATGAGGGAAGACTCCCAAACTCTTTTTACATGGCCAATATCATCCTATTCTAAAACCAGGTAAAGACAAAATAAAGAAAACTGCAGGACAGTATCACTGATGAACATAGATGCTAAAATCCTCAACAAAATATTGGCAAACTGGATCCAGCAATACATTAAAAAGATTATACATCTTGATCAAGTGGAATTCATCCCAGGGATGCAAGGATGGTACAATATTCACAAATCAATAAATAAATGTAATACACTACATAAACAATACAAAAGACAAAAACTACATGGTCATATCAGTAGATGCTGAAAAAGCATTTGATAAAGTATGGCACCCATTTGTGATAAAAACACTCAGTAAAGTGAGAATAGAGGGAGTATACCTTAACATAATAAAGGTCATATACGAGAAACCTACAGCCAACATCATATTCAAAGGACAAAAACTAAAAGCTTTCCCCCTAAGAACAGGCATAGGACAAGGGTGTCTACTTTCACCACTTCTATTAAACATAGTCTTGGAAGTTCTAGACACAGTGATCAGACAAGAAAAAGAAATAAAAGCATCCAAATAGTAAAGGAGGAAGTAAAGCTGTCACTGTTTGTAGATGACATGATAGTGTACATGGAAAACCCTATAGTCTCCACCAAAAAACTACTGGACCTAATACGTGAATTTGGAAAAGCAGCAGGATACAAAGTCAACATTCAGAAATCGAAGGCATTTTTGTACACCAACAATGAAATATCAGAAAGAGAAATTAGGAAAAAATTCCCGTTTACTACAGCAACAAGAAAAATACTTAGGAATAAACTTAAGCATGTAGGTAAAAAACCTGTACTCAGATAACTATACAACACTGAAGAAACAAATTAAGGAAGACACAAATAAATGGAAGCATATACCATGTTCATAATTGGAAGAATTAACATCATCAAAATGTCCATACTGTACAAAATAATTTATAGATTCAATGCAATACCTATTAAAGTACCAATGACACATTTCACAGATATACAACAAATATTTCAAACATATATATGAAGCCATAAATGACCCCGAATAGCCACAGCAAGTTTGAGAAGAAGAACAAAGTAGGAGGGATCACAATACCTGATATCAAACTGTGCTACAAGGCCAGTATAATCAAAACAGCCTGGTACTGGCATAAGAACAGACACATAAACTAATGGAACAGAATAGAGAGCCAAGAAATAAACCCAAATCTCTATGGTCAATTAATATTTGATAAAGGGGGCAGAAGCATAACATGGAATAAAAATAGCCTTGTCAACATATGGTGTTGGGAAATCTGGACAGCTACATCAAAAAAAAAAAAATGAAACTAGATCACCAACTTACACCATACACCAAAATAAACTCAAGATGGATAAAAGACTTAAATGTAAGTTGCAATGCAATAAAAGGCCTAGAGGAAAACATAGGCAGGAAAATTTCAGATATCCCATGCAGCAATATATTTTTTTCCATGCAGCAGTATTTTCACTGATATATCCCCTAGAGCAAGGGATATAAATGAAAGAATAAACAAATGGGACTATATCTAATTAAAGAGCTTCTGCGCAGCTAAAGAAAATATCAACAAATTGGAAAGGGAATCAGTGGTACAGGGAAACACATTTCCCAATGATACCTCGGACATGTGTTTGATCTCCAAAATATATACAGAACTCACATGACTCCACACCAGGAAGACAAACAATGCAATTAAAAAATGGGCAAAGGACCTAAGCAGACATTTCTCCATGGAGGACATACAGAGAGGGCTCATAAGACACATGAAAAAAATGCTCAACACCACTAGCCATTACAGAGATGTGAATTAAAACCACAATGAGATGCCACTTCACAGCAGTCAGAATGGCCATCATTAATAAATCAACAAACAATAAGTGCTGGAGAGGTTGTAGAGAAAAAGGAAACCTAGTACACTCTTGGTGGGAATGTAGACTGGTGTAGTCACAGGGGAAAACAGCATGGAATTTCCTCAAGAAACTAAAGATGGAACTGCCTTTCCATCCAGTGATCCCCCTGCTGAGAAGATAACCTAAGAATCCTGAAACACCAATTCTGAAGAACCTATGCACCCCAGTGTTCATAGTAGCATTATTTAAAACAGCCAAGTGCTAAAAACAGCCTAAGTGCCCATCAGTAAATCAGTGGATCAAAAAACTGGTATATTTATACAATGGAATACTATACCATAGAAAGAAGGAACTTCTACCCTTTTCGACAGTATGGATGGAATTGGAGAGCCTTATGCTAAGTGAAATAATCCAAGATACCACATGATGAAAGACAAATATCATATGATCTCACCTATAAATGGAACCTAATCAACAAAACTGAGCAAAACAGAACCAGACACTTGGAAATTAAGAACAAACTGGACAGTGACCAGAGGTAGGGGGAAGATAAAAAGGAGGGAAAGAAGGGAAAGGGACAAGCAAAGGAACAGGAATAGAGACTCATAGGTACAGTTAATGGTGGGGGATTGGCTGTGGGAGTGGGGTTGGGTAGGAGTAGGGGTGAGCAATAGAGAAAAATGCAGGACAACTATAACTGAACAATACATTTTTTAAAAATTTCAATTTTATATGGTTCAAAACTAAATATATTTAGTACTATATTCCATGTTTAAAAAGTAATAATACAATAGGGGCACCAAAGTTTCTCCTTTTTCTTATCTCATCTGTTAGAGGTATGGTATGTTTCTAAAATTTGATTTTTTCTTTCAGTTTTAATTTCTACTGTTTCAGTTGTACAGCTAAGTGGCTAGATAATCATATACTTGACATAGTATTCTGTTCCATATTTCTAGAACCCCAACTGGCACCACACAGTTATCACAATGTTATTCACTATATTTCCTGTAGTTCACTTATTTCCTGTAACTATTTTGTAACTACCAACTTGTGTTTGTCTGTCCCTTCACCTCTTTCACTCAGTTTCCCAACCTTCTTACCCTCTGGTGACCACTAGTTCTTTCTTTGTGTCTGAGTATGTTTCAATTTTATTTTGTTCTTTAGATTCCACTTATAAGTGAAATTATATGGTATTTGTCTTCCTCTGTCTTTTTTAACTGCGCATAATACCTCTAGGTCCATTAAAATTTTAGAATGTTTTTCTCCTGCACATCATTTGGAAGATAATATAAATTAGTTATTTTTCTTTTGCCAACTATCCTAAAAGGCTAGTATAAATAATTAAGCTTTTTATACAGAGAATACACAGGTAGTTCCTTAATGTTCCTTGATTATTTAGGTCAGTGGTTCATCAACAGTCACTGGAGAACTTCTTAAGATACAGGTTTCTGAGCCCTATATCCAGACATTCTGATTCAGTGGGTCTGAGTGGGGTCATGAATTTGCATTTCTTACAAACTCCCGTATCACTCTGATGCTGCTAGGTCCTAAGATCATACTTTGAGATCACTGACCTCTGTGGTACAGAAGAGACTTACTTGTAATAAGGCCTCTTAAAAAATTCAGAAAAATAAAACTCAAGTTGTTGAGGTATTAGATAAATTCCCTTAAGCCAAAACTATTTTTTATTATAGTGCTATATTAGCTCTATTGTATGATAATTGTAAATTGGATTTGCTTTGAGTTAATTTCTGCAGCCCACAACTTCAGTGCGAGTAACTCTAAGGAATTTATCCACCTGTCCCATCTTTACAACTGCGCTGTGTTCTGGCTTGCCAGGAGGAGCAAGGGTCGCCCCAGCTCTGTGGCTGGGCCTCTAGGTCAGGGTCACTTCTCTACTTGCACTATCGGAGGCAGCACGTCCAGCTTGACAAACTCCTGGAGGCTCCTGATAGGGGAGCCTGTGGGCGCCAATCTAGGAGACCAAACCCCACCTGCGGCAATCGGCCAACCCAACCCCGACCACGAGTCTTTTCTTCTCTTGGATACCCTCGTGGAGCCGCGAGAGCCACGCGGACACCGTAAAGAGCCCCTGGGGTAACTAAGCGGGCAAGTTCGGACCCGCGGGAGATCACGCAGAAGTCTGCGCCCGGAACCGCCGCCTCGGAACAATCGCGGGATCGCCGCCTCACGGAGAGCCACACGGCCTCGGACCAACCCAGCCCGGGCTTTCGGGATCAGGAGAAGTTCTGCAGGCCCGCGAGCCCGTCCGTCCACTCAACTCGGCTCGCTGTCGCCCCTGGGCTTTGGGGAGATGACGTCCAAGACCGATGTCGGCTTCGTGAAGGAGGCTTCTCGGCAGATAGTGGCTGGTGGTTCCGCTGGTAAGTCTGCTCCGTCGGGGGCCAGTTGCTTTTCATCTTTGCTTGCAAATGTTTCCGACAAGTTTCCTAACCGAAGTTTTGCCATCTTCCTTTAAATTCTGCGCCGCGGGTGCAGAACCCGAGCCGGCGGAACTGGAGCAGAGGAGGGTGGGAGCGGGCGGCGGGTGTCCTGCGGTCAAGGCGCCGGGGCGCTCGCGTCAGCCGCTCTCGGGTTCCCCTCCTCCTCGGTTCCTAGCCTGCGAAGCAAGGTAGGCAGCCCCAAGGCCTGCGACTTTGAGGCCTTTTTGCCTGCTGGCTATTTTACTTGAAACCATCCAGCTTCTGTCAGATTTAGCTTTGCTCTCTGTTGTAGCCTCTTTCTTCTGAGTTAATTCAGATCTTGCATAACTCCTACCTCCCTCATTAAAATGTGTATACCTCAGGACTCTACTGGTATTCTTATTGCATACTGTGCTTGCTTGGGGCTATTTGTGCCTTAAATAGATATATTAAAATTAAATGCTTATGTTAACACATACAAACACCTTTGATAAAATGGGCTCACATTAATTTAGGGAGAATTATAGTATGGGGAAAACATTAGAAAAAATCTTTGCTACTAATCATGGAAATAATTACTAAGTGTGGCTAGAGAAAGTTACTCATAAGATTATGTTATGTGAATGTATTTTAAAATATAAGTTATGAGTTGATTGAAAAAATAATCTTACATACTGTGACGCATTTTATTATAAATATAAAATTATTATATAATTAACTTGTTACCATGTAACATTTATATAAATGTAGATAGTCAATTTATTATATTATGGTAACTCTAATAAATCATATTAAGACAATGACTAGATGTCTAATGTTTAACTTCCACGAGTAAAATGTGCTTTATTTTCAAACAAATTTGAACTTTTTATAAAAGGGACTACTACAGATTATGACCAGTTTTCATCATGTCATGAACTACTTACATCTTTGGGGTACTGCGAGCAGCCACATGTATCACTTCCAGTCTGTACACTTTCCCAAAGATGATATTTATTAATATGGAACTCAAGGCATGAATTTATTATATGTGATTATGCTATGTCTGTTCATTGTTATGATGTCAGTGGCTCCACTGTCTACTTTTTCCGTTGTGTAGTGATGATGAATCTGCATCAACTTATTCACCGTTTTGGTCAGATTCCATAATGTTCAAGACTCTTCAGCTGTCCCTGACTCACTTGATTCAGAGTCCATAATTTTGATCAAAGAAAATTTAACTGGCCCAATAGGAAAGTGAAGTTAATTAGTGAACATCCCAAACTATTCACCATTACCTGTATATTGGCTTAGATGATCATACTATGTATTAGACACAGCTGAACTCAAAGGATGTTAATAGTAGATCAAACTCTAATCCTACTTACATTGTTTTGTTGGGTGATAACTATTTGGCACAAATATAACGTGTGATTCCACCATATTCTTAAAATTATAGGTAATATGAATAAAATTGTAAGTAATATAAATTAGTACATTTATAAGATAAACATAGCATAGTTGATTGATACTTTAGTACTATGGAATTATTATTGATAAATGATGAGAGTAATTTACTCTTTCATCACAGTGAAAGAGTCATGTTTTCTTCCACTTGGCTAATAACATTTTCATAAAATTCTTTATTTATTAAACTTTAATAAGTTCAGGCTAATAAGTTCAGGTTAATAAGTTCATTACATATACTAGGTCAAGGGCCAAAAAGAAATGAACATACAAGAGTTAGAGTTTAATAAATATAAACAATGCATGTTAATCTCTAGTACTGGAGTTCTGACTGAAACTGTCATCAAATGCAATACCTTTGTGTGTATGTGTGTGTATTATATAATATTTTGATGGTAAAGGCTAAAAATGCATTCTGGATTTCTTAAGAAAAAGTAACTAGGGAGGTTTATTAGGGAAATAGTAGGGTATGCCATGGAATTTAGGGTCTGGGATGCATTCCTAGAACAGGTTGGAATCAGGAGCAGGGGCACTGAGGAAGTGAACTCACTTCACTCAGGACATGAACTCTTGCCATGTCTTTCTTTTTCTCTTTGTCAAATAGTTAAGCATTCCCAAAGCAGCAAGGTGGTGGCTAAACATAGGGCCACAAGTAATATTAATTATTAATATTAATAATTAATGTTAATTATAATAATAACAAGTATCAGTATTACTTTCATAAATTTGCCTGGTAAGGAGTAAATATGCCCAAATGAATTCAGACAGTTAATTACTTATGCAGAAAACAAAAGCAAGTAATTATGGTGTTAGTTCTCTGTGTCCCTTGTTTTATAGGTAACACCAAATTGAGCAGACCAGATGGTAAATGGTATGAGCAGTAGGTCCCTCTGCTATTGGTCTCTCAGAACCACAGCCAAGCAGTTTTACAGACTTCACTGAAGTCTGCAGCTTTACCCTAACTGAGTAGGAGTGAGGTGGAAAATCTCGTGCTCAAGTGAAACTAGGGAAATTGATGAGAAACGGCCTTGTGAAAGCCTTCCACAAGATAATGGGAGAAACAGCCTCTCAGAAGCTCCTCAGCAGGCTGCTAATCTTCCCTTAGGCTAGAAGAAATCACAGGACATCTACCAAGACTCAAGTCAGATTGTTGGTAAGCCTTGGCCAGGTGGTCTTTGTAGAAATGTGCAAGGTCGTCAGGTGCCACACTGTGGAGCTATTTCCTTATGCTCTTCTGGTGACTTCATCAGTCTTCTTTCTGCTGTTGTCTGCTCTGGAGTCCACATGGCAGGTGTTTCCCAGTAGCTCCTGCACTTACATGCTTCTTGATTTCTGTTCTGTAGCGAGAGCAAGAAGAGACTGACATGCTTTTTTCAGTTCTAGTGTAAAATCTGAGGAAAGACTCAAAACAACCCAGTATTGGTCAGGGACCCACCTCTTCACCATTTATAGCCAATGTCCATGTGGATGTTGGGGCAGGGGTGGGATGGAAACTCAGGGGAGATTTTTCTCCGGAGAAGCTACAGGCATCATGAGATGGGCAATAGGTGTCTCTTATAATTACATAAGACTATCTTTTATTAAAAGATGGTTTGTAATATTTGTATTCAAAAAATGAAAGAGATTAATGCACTGGCAGTTGCTTGGACAATACACATCTAAAGATCGACCTTGAATTTATGGCTAACTATTATACTTAGATGATATAACCAATGGCACCTTTGTGTTATATAATGAAAGCTGTGTTCAAGACAAGTCAGTGGGTACTGGAGTTTTACAGGCTTGTAGTCTGCATTTTCAGCTTCAACTAGTAGCGTAAGATTCAGGTGAGGGAATAGAAGCCAGTGATGAGGGCTTCAGGAAGATCACTAAAGTCTAACGCTGTAGAGGGATTAAGGATGAGAGTGAGAAGAGGCCATTGGATTAGACCCTTGGTATCAGTGTGGTCCAGTGGTAAGCAGCAGGGGCATGGCAGCACCTGGAAGCTTGTTAAAAATGTAGGCTTTCAGGCTTCACTCCAGACCCGCTTTATCAGAATCTGCATGTTAGGAAGGTATCCAAGTCACTGGTTTGCACTTCCAGGTCTTAGAAGTATTACACTTGACCTTTGAGAAGAGAGAGCCTACAGAGTGGGAGCCAGATCAGAGGATTGCAAGTTAAATTTCTTGTTTTTTATTGCTGACCAGAGAGAGGAGAATGAATTCTGGATGCTTTATTATGTGTCCTCAATTTAGCTTTCAGATTTATTTTCTACCCCTCTCCTGTGCATTCCATTTGGTTTCTGCTATATAAATCTGCAAACCATAATTGAATGTTGCCTGTACCTTTCCACCTTTATTCCCAGTGCCTGAGATGTCTTCCCCTTGTTTTCTCTACCTATTGAAATCCTATCCATCTTCCAAGGCTTAGCTTGAAAAACTATCTTCTCCATAAATGTTTCCCAGATGGCCTCTACAGCCCTATCCAGCTTTAGCATTCTCGTTAACATGTGACTGGTGCAAATAATGAAAATGGCTAGCATTTATTGAGTCAATACTAAATGCCAGACCCAGTTCTAAGCTTTATAAGTGTTAACATTTTCAATCCTTACCACAACTTCAGGATGAAGAAACTGATGTACAGAGGGTCTAATTAACTTGCCTATGGTTGCACAAGCATGTAACCATTTCTACAAAAAATTGGGATAGGGAAGGGGCTAAAAATATTATTCCTATCGACAGACATTTATTGGAGAGATCAAGTCAAGTCTGCTATCCCTTATTATCTATGTCTTATTATTTTACGTCCCTTAGAAGAACATTTATCTACAAATACAATCCTTATCATCTTTCTACTGTAGTATCTTGCGCTTTTCATGTGTGTGGGCACCAATTAGCTTTTAGCCAAAAGAAAACCCTCAGTTCACCCAGGGGCTCTAGGTGCAGTTGGGCAGATGGTTGCCTGCAAAAGGACTCTGGTCACTGGAGCCAGTGGGGACTGAAATCTAGCCTGTGCTCTGATCCATCGTTATATACTCCAGAGCTGAGATGCCTCCACCCAGGGGAGAAGGGACACCTTTTTCGATTTCTCACAGAAATACCAGATGAATTGGCAGCCAACCTGACAGCAGCGCTGACTGAGTTTTCCCAGACTTATGAGTGCTCCCAAGGTCCCTGGACCTCGACATCCCCAGATGCCACTTCATTACGCTGTCTGCCCACCAGCAGAGCTTTAGAAGGTTTCTCTTTTATGCACATCTCTTCTTTGGAGCCAGGAGAATGGCTCCACCTGAGACCTGGTCATGCTCCATAAAGACTAGTTTGGGCTCTTCCATATGTTTCCAAAGTTCATGGAATTCTTAATGTCATGTAGGAACTTTTTAGGCCCACTGCAGATAGTTTTCTCTTTCAGGTTCTCATAGGGCTTTGCACCCCAACTTCAGAATCTCCCAGGGTCTCTGATGAAGTCCTCCTGGACTCCTGAGACACCCTGTTCTTACCAGGGGTTGTCAGGGGTTGCCTTCCTGAAGGCATGCC